GGGTCTCCTTGAGACTTTCGTATTGCCACTTTTTGCCGCCGATTTTTTCGTTTTTTTGTTGAATATTTTTATTTAATTTTTTTATTAGGTAGGCGAACTATAGGTAGGCGAAAAATGGCAATATTTTATTGAATATTTTTATTCAATATTTTTATTAGGTAGGCGAAATATAGGTAGGCGAAATAGACAGGTAGGCGAACATTTAGGTAGGAGAAATGAACAACTCCCGTTCAACTACCGACCATTTCACCAATTTTGTTTTTATTTTTAAAAAAATTTAAAAAAAATTTAAAAAAAAATTTAAAAAAATTAAAATTCGTATTAGTGAGTTGAGAGTTAGTAAACGGAAATGGACATGCAAAAAAAAGAAACAAAAACATGACCAACAAAAAAACGTTTGAAATGAAAGCCGGGCGTCCGGAACGGCCGATCACGCGCCACTGGGTCTTCTTTCGTTGGCGCCTCGCCAAGCCGAAGGAATGCGCGCGGACGGATGGACACACTGCAAGTGCCTCACCGAGGCCTCACAGTGCACTGCCAGGCGGCAGCAGCAGCCGATTAGGAGGCTTGTCTTGCTCTTGGCCGAGACATGACGGACATGACGCAACGCGCCGTGTTTGCACACACACACACACACACGCACGCACACACACGGCGACGCCGCGACGGAGCGCGCGCGATTTGGCGCGATTCGAACTACGTTTTAAGTTTTGGCAGATGCTCGTCGGAGTGGACACGCCCACGATCGCCACCAGGTGCAGCAACACTCAAAGGTCATCACATCTCAATGTGCAAATTTAAATTTATTTTTTTCCCGCAAGGCTGCCCGTGTGTATTGCGGGAGCCAATGCCACCAGGACGAAGAAAAACAAACCACCACACTTTTCCGGCGGCGGATTTTCCCGTAAGGACGCGGGCGGCGCTCGCGATGACGCTCCTCCTAATTTCCCCAACGGCGTCCCTTTTGTCCGCGCTTTCCCCTGTTGGCCCTGCTGGGAGGCGTTTCCTCTGATTGCCACGCCACTGAAAGGCATTATTTTTGCAAAGTTGGTTTGGGAACGCCGGCCGCATTGGCACGTCGTTTCTTTCTCGCGAATAGCCCATTATTTTGCGCTCCGTGCCGACTGGGAGAGGGAGAGAGAGAGAGGAGAGAGAGAGAGAGAGAGAGAGAGAGAGAGAGAGAGAGAGAGAGAGAGAGAGAGAGAGAGAGAGAGAGAGAGAGCGTCGAGTGTATGGTCTTTCGGTCCGGTGGCCTGACTCTGTTTTCCCCCAATAACCTATCGAAAGGAAAGCGGAAAAGTTTTGGAAAAACTTGACGTCGTCGGCTGCTGGCTGCTTTTGACGCGACCGGGAATCGACGATTTTAATGGAAGTGACACGGCAAGAGGTCTCCCCGGGGGCCGGCCGGCCAGCACGCCCCCACGCCCCCCGGGCATCCCCTCTGGGGGCCCCGCGTCGCGTCGCGTCGCCTCGTCGGGCGTTGTCAGCGACCGCGCGCATTAAGCGGCTCCGTCAGCGCCATCGGGTCTCCCCAACGTAATGGGACGGCCAAAAAAAAATCGCATAAAAAAGGCGGAAAAAAAACTTGGTCTTTTATTTTTCGGGGCCATTATAATTTTAAGGTAAGTTCTGATTTTTATCGCCACCTTGCCGCGGTGCGTCCCTGAAGACACTTAGCGGCCGTGGCGGACCTGGGGGGGAGCGAGAGAGGAGGGAGGAGGAGAGAGAGAGGAGAGAGAGGAGAGAGAGAGAAGAGAGAGAGAGCAGTGCGGTCGAGGTAGGGTAGGACCAGCTGCTCCCGGGGCCGGGGGGGGGTGGGGGGGGGAGGGGAGGGGAGGCCGGGACGCCAGAGGGAAGGCAGGCCTCGCCGCGACCCGGGGAGGTCAGCAGCCCGGCACCGCCACGGGGGCACCGGGTGTTGTGCATTCAACAGGTACGACCAATTCGCCTCCTGTTGAACTTGAGGCCGTGCTGCGGGCCCCGCGGCACCCCGCGGCTCCCCGCACGGCCCGGCCCGGCCCCCCCCCCCGCCCCGCCCAGCATCGCCCCGCCCCGCACCGCCGCGCACCGCCGCGGCAATATCCATGATTGCCGGCAGTGCGCGTTGACGCTTCCGGCCTCCGCGGCGGCCTCCACGGCGGCGGCAGAGCGACGCATGGCAGTATGTCCACGTCCACGGCGCCGAGCAAATGGACGCCGGCACGCGCCTCACGTGTGTGTGTGTGTGTGCGTGAACTAGGTGTAACGCCTGAGGGGCAGGCGGTGTGCCTGTGTCGGCACTGGAATCGGAATAACTGTGCCGAAAGCTGAGAGCCCCGCGACCGCGACACCGAGAGCCCCGGGGGCGTCTGGCTGGGGCGATTGAAGGCCGTCGCCAAACACGACGACGCACCAAAGCAGAGATGGAAGTGGGTCCGTTGGGGTACCAATCGGAGCGCGGGCTCAAATTGGCCCCCGTGGGCCTGGGCTGCGTTTGTACAAGTCGAAGGAAACACGAGCCACCAGTGTGCTCGCGGAGGACGTGACACACCGCACCGCTCCGCTGGGCTGCGGCAGTGGCGTGCCAACCCGGCCCGCAGTGCCCGCACTAGCTCAGCCTCTTGCATGGCTCGGAGTCTCTTCTTCTCTCCTTTCTTTGACATAGGTGCAGCCTATTGGCACGTGTTGACGCTTCGTAGTGTGTGCGCACGGTGCGCGCGGAGTGTGCCGGCCTCGCGGACACATCCTCCTCGGAGTGCTCGGAGCCTGGACGAGGTGCTGGCGAAAAACAGAGCCGCCGCGCAAGAGTATCGAGTTCTCTGTTGTGAGTTCCCTGACGGCTGGCTTGGCTTGCGCGGGGTAGCCCAAACTAGGCTGCGGAAAACAATGCCTCAGCTGCGCTGTGTTACACTGTGCTGCCGGACAGGTGCACCTCTGCGAGGGTGCGTAGGGTATCGCGTCTCGCGTACGGCGCGGGCCTCGTGCACTGCACGACCGCCAGCACTAGCATTTCAAATTTTCAACAAAAACTTGTGAAATTTGTTAAATTTTTACCCTTTTTTTCTAGGAAACTGTTGGTACGGCGGGGGGGCGCAACGGTCGTCTGTTTCTTACGTACAAATTGGAATTGCAGGACCGAGACCACCACTCCTAGATAAGGAGGGTGATGTCGATATCGCGCGGGAGGGGGGGGGGGCAACAAGGACACGCGAATGGCGCGAGTCAACATCACTTTTCATCCATGGCCGGCCGTTCGAAAGCTTGCTAAATAACACTCCCGAGCCGTCTGCACCGCCGGGCCGTGCCTCCGCCCCGCCCCACCCCACCCCGCCCCGCCCCGCCCCGCCCCGCCCCGCCGCGCATGCCTCCCGCCTCAGCTGTTTCAAAGTTTGGGGATCCCTGCCTGTCGAAGTGGCTCGGTGGCTCCGGGTGAAGGGGCTGGCTGGCTGGCTGGCTGGCTGGCTGGCTGGCTGGCTGGCTGGCTGCGGGCGGGGCGGCCAAACCCCGGTATCGCCGTCCGCCGGGCGACACGGATACCGCGCTTCCGACGACGCCGCGCCGAGTTGCAGCCGTTTTAATCGGACGCCGTCCGACCGTCTGATCCTGAGTCATCAAAAAGGGGACCGAAGGGGACCGACCCCCGCAGCCCCGGACAGCCCCGACAGCCCCCGGCCACCCTTTTAGCCGGTAAAGCGATGAATGTACACAAGGTTGACGAAAGCGATATTCCTCCATGCCTTCGCTCTTCGCTCCGCCTCGCTCCGTCTCGCTGGCGAGGGTCGGCGGACAGACTGCCGAGCGGACAGACGGGCGGACTACGGACTGTCGGGGTGGCTTGACGCCGCTTGGCGCCCGCGGTCGGCGAGGTAGGCACTCCCGCCGCACTCCAAGCACTGCCTCACTGCCTACCTCTGGCCCTGGCCCGAGCCCCGTCCCACCCCCAGGCGCTTTGGGATTCATGATGCATCCGCAATGTCTGCCTGGCCGGTGGCGTCTGCCGTCTACCCGCGGCGAGGCCGTGGAGGCCGTGGTTCGGGTGGCCCTTTGACGCCACTGCGAGGAGACGGCTGCTCCGTTCTCTGGCGCCCTCCGCGCGTTGGTCCATGTCTTCGTCGTCCCAGTCCCTGAAGTCCTCGTCGTCCTGGCCGCCCCGGTCCTCATCCTCGTCCTCGTCGTCCTGGCCGCCCCGGTCCTCATCCTCGTCCTCGTCGTCCTGGCCGCCCCGGTCCTCATCCTCGTCCTCGTCGTCCTGGCCGCCCCGGTCCTCATCCTCGTCCTCGTCGTCCTGGCCGCCCCGGTCCTCATCCTCGTCCTCGTCGTCCTGGCCGCCCCGGTCCTCATCCTCGTCCTCGTCGTCCTGGCCGCCCCGGTCCTCATCCTCGTCCTCGTCGTCCTGGCCGCCCCGGTCCTCATCCTAATCCTCAGCCTAATCCTGATCCTCGCCCCCCGTCTTCCTCACCGCCTCCCTCCCCTCGCCGCCGTGCGGACCTACACTGGGATTTAAGGCGTCGAAATCTCGTCGTGAATTCACTGTTCCTTCCGGCTGTCAACGCGCGGCAGGAGCGCTCCGACCCTCCAGAGGCCCAGTAATAGCGTCATCATATGACAGCGAGAGCGCGCGCGCGTGTGTGTCTGCTGCGTGTGTGTGCGAGTGTGAGGAGGGACACACCGACGTGCATAATGTTGCCTGTCATATTCACACTGGTTGCCACCGACTTCGTTTCCCGCAGGATGTTCCCGCAGGATGTTCCCGCAGGATGTTCCCGCAGGATGTTCCTGCAGGATGTTCTAGGTGGATTTTCTCACTGCATGTTCCCGCAGGATTTTGCCTCAGGATGTTCGCGGAGGATGTTCCCATAGGACGTATTTTCAGGATGTTCTCGCAAGATTTCTTTCCTGGATGTTCCCACAGGATTTCCCCGAAGGATGTTCCCGCAGGATGTGGCGGTCCTGCCCCCATCGCCGTCCTGGAGTCCGCGGCGTCCGCGGCGTCCGCGGTCGGCAAGTCCCGACACCCTCACCTTGTTAGTCTCCCCGCGCGCCGAGTGGCTGGCCGCCTTGCCGACGGCGTGGACGGTGTCGACGGCGACGACGACGACGAGGGCGTCGAGCAGTTGGTGGCACTCACTCACGGACACGCGCGCCACGACACGGGCACGGTGGGCACGGCGGGCACGGCCTCGGGCGGCACGACGAGGAGCCGAGCGGGACGGCGAGAGGCGAACTGAAGCGGCCACACCGCCACGCTGTGCTACGCGCCGCCACGCGCCGCCACGCCGCGCCACGACCCGCCACGCCGGAGCGAGGGAAGGGGCCCAACCGTGATTCAGGGAACGGAGCGGAGCGGAGCGAGCGGAGCGGACTCGGCGCGCTAGCGCGGTTTGGCGTGTCCGTGCGCCGTGGGCCCCACGGGGAGGGGGCGCTGGAGGGGCGCTGGAGGGGCGCTGGAGGGGCGGCCCCAGCTCGGCGGGGGGCTTGCGCAGTGGCTGGAGGCTCGCTGGAGGCCCGCTGGAGGCTCACTGGAGGCTGGGGCGGCGGGGGCATGATGAACCCGTGCTATGCTGGAACTGATGGAGCCGTGATGGAGTCATTCTAGGGACCAGATCACTGCGAAAACGATGTCGGCCCGCCTGCCCCCGTCGCCTGCCGCCCGTCGCCCGCCTCGGGCCGCGCACTGTGAAGCGCGCCAAGCTGGCGAAGATGGCCGAGATGACGAAGATGGCGGGGGCACTGTGAAGGCACTGCGAAGGCGACGCGGCGCTGAGCACGTTGAGGGATTGCTGGAGCGTGGCTGGGGCGCCGGGACGCTGTTGTGGCGGCCCGGCCGGGCCCGGCGGCATGGAGCGGCTTGCCCAAACTTTGATGTTGTCACTTCCTGGAGCATTGGCGGGGCGTTCTGGAGCGTTACTGGAACGGTGCTGGAGCGTGCTGGAGCGTGCTGGAGCGTGTTCCTGCAGCGACGCGTTGGCGCGTTCCGGCTGCAGCCGCCGAGTCGCGAGCTGGAATGGAACACAGCACTGGAAACAAAGGTGCGGTGGGGCGGGTGTTACACCCCGTCTCTCTCTCTCGCTCTCTTTCCGGCTCACCGGGCCGCACACAAACATATACAATGCAATCGCCTAGGCGAAGAACCCGCCAAAAAATTGGCGCAGGCCTCCTCTGTCTGGCGGACTGATTTGAACGGCGACGACGCCTTTTTGCGCGGCGTCTTTGCGGTCTTCAATTACCGACCGCACGCCCGTTTGAGCTTGACAGTGGGCCGGGCCCGGCGATTCGTTTTACGTTTCAATCAATACTCAATTCGGTATTCTCTGGAGGACTTCCTGCCGCGGTTCGTTGCCCCCGCCGCGCCGCCGCACCGCCGCCTCGCCGCGGCACAGCGCTCGCTCGCGCGGCTCGCACACCGATCCGCTTGGACTTCCCTTCGCCTCGCCGAGCCGCCGAGCCGCCGAGCCTCGCTGCGTCTCGCTTTGTGTCGGCGGCCCGGGCCTTGGTTGGGCCGGGCTAGCCTGCCGCGCCTAGCTAGCGTATGCGTAAGTGCGTAACGAGGAGGGTTCCAACGGTTCCAACGCCTCAACCCCGGCACGCACACGCACGCACACACACACCACACACACAACACACACACACACACACACACCAACACACACAGCGACGCCGCGCCCAACCATGCTGCGCGGACCGGCGCACTGTGAGTGTGTGTGTGTGTGATCGAGCGTTTAACCGACAGCCAATTAGATAACGCGCGTTGACGACGCGTCTCTAGGCGAGGAAAAAGGCGTGGGGAGAAGGGGGGGGGAGGTTGAGGCGGGGAGGGAAATCCCACTCCGACAACCACAGCCAGCATTTCGGCATAGTGCTTGGGGACCGTCCACCATCACGACACGACGAAAGTTCAAATTCCTTGGTCCTGTATACTATTCTTGTATTTCGTTGAGGTGCTCAAGGTTTTTTGGCATCCCTCCTCCTCGCATGATAAGGTTAAGAGGGAGGGGAGGGGGTCCAAATGCGCTTCACATGCCACCGTTGCGGGGCTCCGGGCCGGGACCTCAAGGGGCTCTCGGGGGCCCCGGGCTGAGCCGGCCGGAGCGGAAGCCTTGCGAAATTTGGTACTTAGGACTACCCGGCAGCGCGGTGCAAGGCTTCGTCCCGGCGCCCCTGCGCCCCCTCGTCTCAAAGGGGAGTACCACGTAGGTGCACTGGAACAGGCCCAGCGAGGAGCCGCACCTAACACAAACTTTCAAGCAGCGTCTTGTTGACGTGTTTTTCTGTCAATTTTTTACAATGCATGCCACTTCTTTGGGTGGGATGCGGATGCCTCCTGGCGGTTTGATGTCGGCGTGCGGCTAACCTAACCTAACTTCACCTAACCGACGCTGGGTCCTAGACCCTGGACCACCCTGGATCCTCGCACACCGCTAGCGCCACCTGTCGCCGCGCGGCCGTCGCGTGTCGAGTCGCACGGAGTATCGCCGCCGCGGAGTCTCTCGGCGCCGGGAGTAGCGCCGCCGCGCCCGGCTCCCACGCGCGGGGTATCTCCCTCGGGACGGATTGTTGGATTGCTGCTGCAGCGAGCAAGGACGCGCGAGCGTTGGCTGCTTTGTTGGGCAAGGTCAGGCAACGCCAGGCCATGCCAGGCGATGCTTCAAGGGCGGCGGCAAGCGCCTGGAAGGTAGGCAACAGGGTGGCATGGTTGTTGGCAGTGTGGCCTATCCTCCGGATGGCAGGCGCTACCGGGCGGTACCTCGCAAGACACGGCCCCGGATCTCTTGTCATTGTCGACTGGACGCAAGGGTAGGCAAATGAACAAATGGCATGTATGAATGGTTATTTATTACAAAAATAGCTCTTTGATAATTTCAGGTTCAACATTTCATAAAGTACTATTAACTTGTTACATGTTTCGTTGACAAAACAACTCTTAGTCAAAATCATAATTGCGTGAAAGCGTGTTCCACAGTACAATTTGGCGTGAATTTCTCATAAATAAAACGGATAGTTGATATTTTTCCTTTTATAAAGTCTGGAAATGGTTCAGAGTTTCCTGGCAGGAAGTTATGTTAGCACGACTGTATGGGGGACATATGCAAAGCATCGTTCTCGTTAAACAGTCTTACTTATTGGCAGTTTTTAGTTTTTTAAAAAATGACTTGGTTGATCATGTATTGTCAGAAACTATGTAGTTCATTTTCCCAGCCAGCAGGAATATCCAGCCCATTAAAGACGCAATGCTCCAAAAGTGGACATATGCGACAAAACTGTTTGTACCTGTCGGTACAGTATTCCCAGCAAACGATTCGTCTTCTAAGGTTTCCAGCACGGAAAGTGGCAACACATAAATTATAAAGGCGTTTTCTTACGGGACGGATCTAGGCTCTTGAAACTTCAAGGAAATCCGCACAAATATCACATTCTTGCGCATCACTCCCGGACAGCCCGACAGTGTAGACGCGACAATTGAGCACAATTTAGTTCTGGCAGTTGTTGCCGACAATTACAGCAGATAAAGGCAGAGGACGGTTTGTGCCAGTCCTAGGAGCTGCAAAGTCTCCTATCATGGGTGCCGACACCAACACAGACACACCAACACACGGAGTGACTCCGCGAGACACTTCCAGTGTCGTTGCTCCCCATCTTTTTTACAGTGCGGAGATCAGGAGTGGGGAAGTGACGTCATCCGGTCACACGGCGATGGTGAAGTGGTTGGCGGGCGCGCCGCCCATCCGCTTGGCCTTGGGCTTGACGGCCTTCTTGAGGCGGTGCATCGTGTCCATGTCGCACTCCGCCTCGCTGGAGGCGGCCTGCGCCGAGGGGTCCGAGAAGCCGCTCGGTGGGTCCAGGCGCGCGCCGAAGGGGAAGCGGCCGCCGACCACGTCCGCGCCGACGCCCAGGCCGAGCCCCCCCGAGGGCCGCCTGTCAAAACAGAGGAAGCGGAGGCAGTCAACACGGAGGCTGGGAAAACGAAATCAACGGCAGAGGGGCGAGTCCGTAGCGGCGCGCAGTGGGCCAGAAGACCGGTGCGCACTTTCGGACCTTCCGGCTTAAGAGCCACCGTGACTTTTCGATCACGTTTCCCGGTGTGCCGCAGGGTGGTGCTCTTACTTGGTTTACCTGCCGTGGTGCTGGGCGTGCTGGGCGTGCTGGGACTGCGGCGGCCGGTCGCGGTGCCTGCCCGGCGTCACGGGGTGGTGCTGGAGGTGCTGCAGGTGGTGGCGGCCCCGCCGCTCCGGCACTGGCGACTGCTCTGGCGACGTGCTGGACTCCGCGCCCTGCGCCGCGCTGCCGCCGTACAGCAGGGCTGCAAGCAAACCAAAATGAAAATCCTCAAGTTTAATTTTGTTAAAAATGAAATAAATTTGATGGTTGACAAGAAACTCACTCTGCATCGGTATTCGATCCGCCCTGCAGGGGCCGATGTCCGACCACTGGTCCGCCGAGTACTCCCCGGTGCTGTCGGAGCGCGCGCTCTTGCCGCCCTTCATGTTGACCCTCATCTTGGCCAGGTCGTCCTTGGGGTTGCCCTGCGCAGCAAGCATCGGTCACAGCACTGCGAGAGAGACAGAGACACGACGGCGTCGACCACACTCACGCTCTTGAGCTGCAGGGTCTCCATGGCGGCGACGCGCTGCTCGTGGTACAGGTGGCTGCCCACGTGGCTGGCGGCGTGGCTCGGCACGTGGGACGCCACGTGGAAGGTGGCGTAGGGCGAGATGTCCTCGGCGTACTCCGGGATGCGCTCCTGCAGGGGCTGGCCCAGGCCCTTCTGCACCGCGGCGTAGAACTGCTCGCGCTGCGCCAGGTTGTGCTTGTTGTCCAGCGCCATGGTGCCGTCGCCGGGCGCGCGGCCTCGCCCGCTGCCGTCCACGCGGCCGCCGTCCTGGCGCCGCCGCGACGTGCCTGCAGCAGAACGCGAGGGTGCAGTGGACCGCCAGCGCCACGCCAAGAGCACCAACTCAAGTCGGACTTACGTCTGCGCAGGCAGACGACAAACAGCACGAGCGAGACGCAGCCGGCCAGGCACAGCGAGATGACGTACAGCAGGTACATAGTCTGCGTCATGTACAGCATGACGCCCGAGTCCTCGGCGCCGCGCACCGAGTCCGGGCCGTGCGCGCCGCCCAGCCCCGGGGCCGCGTCGGCCGCGTCGCCCGCCGCGGGGGGCGCGTACACCTCGTAGTCCGCCTGGGTGGCGCCGGCCTCGCTCTGCGCCACCACGCGCACCTGGTACGTGGAGCCGGGCCACAGCCCCGACAGCGTGAACGTCTCGGGCGGCAGCACGTTGCTGGCCGCCGTGGTCCAGTCCTCGCGGCCCTTCTCGCGGTACTGGATGCTGAACCCGAAGATGGGGCAGTTGTTCTCGGCCCAGGTGCCCAGGCGCAGCCCCACGCCGTTCACGTTGGTCTCGATGAACTCGTGCGGCGGCGACTGCGAGGGCGGGCTGCCCGACGTGCGGGCTACCAGTGGCGTGGACGCGGGCCCGGACCCCACCGCGTTCACCGCCATCACCTGCAGCTGGTACTGCGAGCCGCAGTCCAGCCCCTCCAGCCGGTAGGTGGTGGCGTCGGCGCCCAGCGGCCGCTCCTCCCACTCGCCGTCCTCGCGACGGAAGTTGAGCAGGTAGCCGCGGATGGCCGAGCCGCCCGTGTCCGACACGGACCACTGCAGCTGCACCGACGAGGACGACGTCGACGACACCCGGACCGACGGCGCGCCCGGGGCCACTGCAAGCACGGGGGACTGTCAAAGAAACCCACACAAACAGCAGCAACTCGACGGCAACTGAACCCAACTCACCTTGCACCTGCACCTGGTGGACGATCTGGTCCGAGCCGTTGGCGTTGGTCGCGGTGCACGTGTAGTTGGCCGAGTGCTGGCGCTGCGCGTCCGAGATGCGCAGCGTGCCGTCGGCCGCCACGGACACCGAGTCCCCGACGGCGGGGGCGCCGTCCGTGCGCGCCCACGCCCTCCGCGGCGTCGGCACGCCCACCACCACGCAGGGCAGCGACACGGCGCCGCGCCGCCGCACCGACACCCTCTGGCCGAAGGACACCACGGCGGCGGGCACTGGGAAACCAAGGTGATGTCGCGGGTTCAAATCCACCACACTGTCAAGCTTCCGGGGCGGGTTTCAGCGGGAACTCACCAGACGGCGACACGCTGGCGTAGGCCACGGATGTGCTGTGGCCCTCGCCGACGCGCGTGGACGCCGTGGCCCAGAACTCGTAGGCGACGCCCTTCTTGAGGTTGGTGGCCTCGTAGGACGTGGCGGAGGCCGGCAGGCGGTGCTTGGCCGAGTCCTGCTCGCGGCCGCCCGGCGCGTCCAGCGTGCGCCGGTACACCGTGTAGCCCGTGAGGCGGCCGTGGGGGCGCGTGGGCGGCAGCCAGGACACGACCAGTGAGGACGCCGAGCTGGCCACCACCTTGATGTCGGCCGGCGCGTCCGGCACTGCAAGACAATCGAGGAGTCAGTCACAGTCCGGGAAACTCACTCAGTTACTTCAGCGAGCTGCGTTGTTGCAGGTTCATTTACCGTCCTCCTCCGTGACGCAGTGGATGGGCTTGGAGCGCACGCCGTCGCCCGCCCTGGTGAAGGCCCAAACCCTGACGCTGTAGTTGGCGAAGCGCTGCAGGCCGTGCAGCTCGGCGCGGCTGTCGGCCACCACCTTGGTGTCCGCCTCCACGGCCCCGGGCGGCCACTCCTCGACGTTCTCGTAGTACACGCGGTAGCCCTGGAGCACGCCGTGCTGCTGCAGCAGGGGCGGCGGCTGCCACTCCACGAGGAGGCTCTGCGGGGCGCGGGACTCACAGCGCACGTCCTGGGGCGGCGCTCCGGGCGCTGCGAGAACATAAAGCACACCGTGTATCACCCTGGCTTCAAGTAGCAATCACTTTACACCCGTTGTTTTGCTCACCGTCTTCCAGTGTCTGCGCCACCTCCTCCTCCGACATGGGCCCCGGGCCCTTCTCGTTGAAGGCCTGCACCACGACGCCGTACTTGCGGTACTTCTTGAGGCCGGTGAGGGTGGCCGACCCGGAGCCGTCGGGGCGCGCGGTGACCGTCGAGAAGTTGTGGCCCTGGCCGCCGGGCCGGCCCAGGCCGTGCTCGCGGTAGCCCACGTAGTAGCCCAGGATCTCGCCGTGCCAGGTCTGCACGGGCGGGGCGCTCCAGGACACGGCGAGGGCGTCCGAGGCCGTGGCCACGACGGACAGCCCCTTGGGCTCGCCGGCGGGGGCCTCGCTGTCCGTGCGGACCGTGACGGCGTCGCTGGGCTCGCCGGCGCCGAGCTCGTTCTCCGCCACCACGCGGAAGCGGTACACCGTGGCGGGGGTCAGGTCGGAGACGACGGCGCGCTGCTCGGCCACGGCGGGCCGCGACCGCCAGGGCTCCGCCTGCTCGCCGCCGGCCGCCTTGAGCTGCCACTGCACCGAGTACTGCAGCGCCGGGCTGTACGACGTGGCGCCGCGGTCGTCCTGGGGCGCCAGCCAGGTGAGCTTCACCTGCCTGCTGGCCGCCTCCAGCACGCGCACGTCCTGCGGCCGGCCCGGCGCGTCTGGAACACAAATTACGTGCTCAGCAACCGACAGTTTACCCCTGTTGGACTCGCAAGTCGGAGTTCGCCGCGCGTACCTTGGACCTGCAGGTGCACGACGCGCTCCGCGCGCCCGAAAGGGTTGGTGGCGACGCAGAGGAAGGCGCCGCTGTCCGTCTTGGCGGTGGACGCGATGTGCAGCTCGGACAGGAAGCCGGCCTTGACCTCGTGGTCCTTGACCTCGTAGCGCGGGTTGGCGTGCACGTCCCTGCCGTCGCCGCGGCCGTCGCGCTGCCACGTCACCGTCATGGGGCCGTCGCCCAGCACCTGGCAGGACAGCGTCTGCGGGGCGCCGCGCCGCACCGACACCTGCGCGGACTTGACCTCGAACTCGGGCGGGACTGGAACGAGAGCAAATGGTCAGCGAGCGTGCGCGCCGCAGCACTGGTGGTGGGACCAACACCCACGACACTCACTGTGCACTTTGAGGTTGACGACGGCCGACACCCCCGCGCCGATGCCGTTGTTGGCCTCGCACATGTACATGCCCTGCAGGTCGGGCAGGGCCTGCCGCATCAGCATGGTGCCGTTGGGGAAGACCTGCACGCCGCGGTGCCGCCCCGTGGCCGTCAGGTCCTGGTACTCGCTGGGCTGGGTGCCTGCGGCAGCACCACTGGCTAGAGCGCGCTCGCGGCCAACAACAACAACAACAAGAGTAACAAGGGGCCTCACCGATGATCTTCCTCCAGGTGACGACGGGCTGGGGGAAGCCGTCGGCGCGGCAGTGGAAGGCGACGGGCTGGTCCCGCGTCACGTTCTGGTCGCGCGGCTCGGCGGCCCAGCGCGGCGGCACTGTAAAAGCACGGCAGTGCATCACGCGGCGAAGCGGCATGGCGGCCGTCACGTAGCGAAAACCGCGCCAGCAATTTAAAAAAAAAATGAAAGAGGAATTTATTTATTAATGCTTTGTCAAAAGAATTTTTTTAAATTTATTACGACGTTGTGACTTTGTAACGCTTGGGAATTTCGCTCCGTGACGGTGGGACAAGCCGTTGTAAACACAGCATAAACCCTCTCGAGACACATGCACAGTGCGAGTTAAGACTCAAGTTAAGGTGCCATCACACACATACACACACAAACAAACAAGGTGAAAAAAGGTGGCTGAGGCTCATTTCCGAAAATTCCTTTTTGCTCGGTGGATCTCCGTTTAGACGAAATCGCGCTGCGGAAAATGAGCCTACGTTCAGCGCCCTCAGAAAACAACAAAAAAAAGATCGAAAGGGAAACAAATACATAATTGGTGTACATTTTCCGTAAATTTTTGCAATTTTCTTCATATTTTTTTGTGAAATTTTTTAATAACTTTTGTAACTGGTAATTTTCGTGAACACCAAGGCGTAGTTGTTTCCCCTTCGAAAAAGATGCATCAACAACAACGGTGCAGGATTTGCAGTCCTCGGCAGAGAACAGAGAAACACAGAGAGTCTCCCAGGGGGCCAGTCCCTGAGCGGGCACACGCCCGAGCACACGCCTCGGGACCTTAGGACGCAGACACACGTTTAATTTTGAAGAGGTCTTCCTTATTCAGAGTGAGCCCTAAGCCCGCCCCGCAAAGGCATTCAAGAGACTGGCCCCGTGCTCGTACCGACGGCAACACATTAGTGGGTGCAGAATAGAAGAGGATTATTAATCAGTGATCCGCTAAACTACCAGGTGCACCTCACAGAAGCGACGTGACCGGAGAGCGGGACTCCGGCTCAGAAAGCTGTTGGAAGCAAGTTTGTGCCGAAAGCCGCAAACTTGATTTTCTCCCTGTAAGGGGTCGGCCCTAAACCACGCCCACGACTTGCGATTTGTTTTTCTTAGCCGCGGCTTATCAAGGGCGCAAGTAGTGAAGGTGGTTAAGGACCGGCCCCGAAGCGCATTCACTCAGACATGCAGGCACCCACCAGGGACCTGAGACCTGCCGAAGTCTCACATTAGCGGCCATTGCATCTCGTGGGCGGCGAAGGTTGTGGGCGTCGGCATGAGAAGAACTAAAGGAAAACTGCACAACGCCGGTAACAGCCCTCTCCCTCACGAGATAAAGCCGGGCAAAATGTGGGAGTTCGGGAACGTTACCGGCCCCTGGTGGTTGGTGCGGTAGACGGCGAGGTGCAGAGAGAGACGGTGCGGAGAGGAGGTGGTACAGAGAGGTGGGGTGCGGTGGACAACATCCAAAAACGACACGAAAACGAAAACGGTGCGCAAGAGACAAATAATATCCGAGACAAGACGTGGTTGGTGCTGTGGTGCTGTGAGAGCGGTGCCGGTGCTGACGACGGTGCTTCGCGATCGCTGTGCGGCAGGGGCCGGGACAAGGAGCAGTTGACATTTTTTTGTTCGGAGGTTTCTAAATGAGTCAAACTTTCGGTAGGAGAGATGCTCTTGGCAGAGAAACACTCTTAACCGGGTAAAAAAAATGGGAATGTTGATCCTTGCCCCGACCCAGCCCCGCCGTGCCCTCCCCTCCAGGTCCTGCAAACAGAGGCGTCATCGTCTACTACGTTACCGCTGACCACGAGGTTGGCGGTCATGAGCGTGGTCTTGGCCGCGTTGGCCGCCGCGCACGTGTAGTTGCCGGCGTGGTCGCGGGCCACGCGGGGGATCACCAGCGTGGTGGAGTACGTGTCCTGCGTGACGTTGAGCCCCAGCGCGGACGAGGGGGACACCTCGTCGACGGGCAGCCCGTCCTTGAGCCAGCGCAGCGTGAGGGGCAGGTCGCCCGCCTGAATGGCACACTGCACCTGCGTCCTGGCGCCCTCTATAAGCTCGCCGAAGGCAAAGGGGCCGATGCGCGGAGGCACTGGAACACCAAGGACGGCCTCAGGACTGTGTCCGCCGCACTGTAGGACACCAGGACACCAACGCCGCCACCACCGCCGCTGCCGCCGCGCCTGCAAACGCTGCGGAGGCAACACAAAACCCTGGGCGGGGATCGAACCCGCGACCTGAGGCCGAGGCCGTGGCCGTGGCAGTACCGTTGACGATGAGCTCGGACGCGTGGTCGACCCTGGCCGCGGCGTTGCTGGCCGAGCAGATGTACGTGCCGGCGTGCTCCGGCCGCAGCGATTCGATGCTCAGCGAGGACACGTGCTCGCCCATGGGCCGCACCTCCACGTCCTGGGGCAGCGCGTCGACGCCGCCCTGGGGGCCGCGGGGGCCTTGGGGGCCGCCGAGGCCCTCCATGCGCCACTCCAGCCGCAGCGGTAGGTCGCCCTTGCTGACGAAGCACTGGACGCCGGCGCGCTCGCCGACGTGGAGGTCGGTTTGGAACGCGAACGGGGTGATTTTGGGCGGGACTGCAACACAGCGAGGAGGTGACGGAGGGGCAAGGGGGAGCCAGTGCATCCCCTCCCCAACCCATTCGCGGACCCATTCACGGATAACGAAGCCCGAAAAGCGTCATCGGCCCGCGGCGCTCTTGTTGCACTCTTGTTGCACTCTTGTTACACTCTTGTTGCGCCGTTACACGACGCGGCATTACCATAACCAGGGGAGCAGTAAAAGAATCTGCGTGGAAGCGCCTGGCGAGGCGGCGAGGCGGCCAAGCAGCGGCCGTCACCAGGGGGTCGTGAAAACGGCAACACCATCACGGCCTCCCCCGGCCTCCCTCGCTCCTATCAGCGCCTACTATGTCTGGCCCCCGCCACCACCACCCGGCGAAGCAAGTGCGCCCACTGAAATAAAAAAAAAAGCCAAGCCAAAGCGACTCTGATTTGGCTCGTTTCCTTCATATCGTTTTGACTAAGAGAGTGCCCTGCTTGTATTCAATCCCAATGGCCAAAGCCCCCAAAAACCTTGACCAAACTTCATTTCAACCCCGAGCGGCGCTGAACATCAGCCACAGCTCGGCACGGCTAGTACCAAAGTACCAACACCGGCCACCTCGCTCGGGTCTATATATTTTGTTTCATACACAATTTTAATTACTATCTTTGGAATGAGCCCGCATACTACCCCGTATAAGGAAACCAAACGAGTATTAACCGAGAAATTTGAAAGGGAAAAGAAAAAATTTGAACTCTACACCCCCTCCCCAGTCTTAATGGGGAGGCCTCCTGCTTTACTTCGGTGTTCGGGATGGGAACCGGTGCTATCAGGTACCTGGGGTTAATCCCGTCAGCGACCCAAGCGTTCGCCGGGGGACCCAGTAGGACCCCAAAGCTCAGGCAGCTGGGTGAGAGCACCCAGTACGAAGCTCTTAGAGGGGCGGGACGTAGAGTGAGACGACAGAGAGACAGAGAGAGACTCAGACAGAGAAGAGGTTTGGTGGGAGCTTCTTGTTTTCGTAGGGTTGGTTGTGTACCCCATGGTACCCCCACTGTCCGGCGCTCCCGTACCGAACATACAGCGTTTTAGGCCAGCTTCAAAGGACTTATCATCGCCTCCCCGACGAGTCAAGGAGGCACCACCCGCAACCACACACCGGGTGGTCTGGATTGATGGATCAAATACTCCATCGCTCCAGTGCCGAGGCCAACCCGCCGAAGCGGATTGCTTTTTAGACACCCACAGCGGAGTGGCCAGGTGAATGTGACTCTGACCACTACGCTATCACGCTTGTACGTCTGGCAGCGTGTTGGACGACGGGTTTGAGTTGCACTGGGAGGAAGGCGGTCGAAAAATGTAATGAAATGACGGGATTCGATCCCCGGACCCCGCCACCGGGATCACACGACTGTACGCTCTCGGCCACCACGGCCCATGATGAGGAGACCGGCGTGAGGTGGGTTCTTGACGCAACAGGACTCGACCGACCCGGTCAAAATTTCGCAAGAAGTTGGGGGAGTCGAACCGCCGACCCTAGCATTGGAAACCGACGCCTCTACTCCCTGGACCACCACGTCCTATGCACGGAGTGGGCTCGCGTTCGCGGGTTTCAACCGCACTGGGTGAGGCAGTAAAATTCCTCGAACCACCACCCTTAGGATAGTAAGTCGAAAAAACTTTTGTGACGCTGGTATTCGAACGCCCGCCTGCGGTAACTCGATCCCACGTCTCTAACCTCTCGGCTATCACAGCAGTTGTGAAACGCTATGGATCATCTGCTTTCATTAACGTTGGTTGAATGAGATTTTTTTTCTTTTTTTACGTGGCGGTGCCGAGCTTGGAAATTCGCAGCGGTGCGCGCAGGAGGGCGACGCAGAGCGCAGAGCCGCGCCGTAGTAAATGCCTCGCCAAGGGCCCCATTTATGGTTCGAGTTATCGCCGTTTGATCCGCGTGGCACCGCCACGGCACCGCCAGGGCACCGCCACGGCGAAGCCGAAACGCCCCAATGTCGCGTCCGAAACGCCGTCGCCACGCGTCGCCACCGCGCCCACCGCCACCGTTCGCCCGTCCCGTTCGCCCCGCGACGTGGCCGACGTGCCGCGGTCGGCCGCTCCAGGTCGCCCGTCCCGGACGCCCCCCCCCCTCCCCTTCTTCCCTTCGTGCGTGCCCCGCGTACCACACGAGGAGCGTCCCCAAGCTGCACGCAGGCGCACGCGGGTTGCAGTGGCGCGGACCTCGTGCATAGTGCAGAAGGCGGGACAGCCCTTAAGCCCGGCGATTCCTCTTAAAAACCCCACATCATTTTTTAAAGAGTTTGCTAACGTGAAGTGCTGTAAAAGGAACGGTTAGACACACGGGCACATTCATTTTAAACCAGTATAGTGCACTTATTGTTTTCAAAAAGTCAAAACAAAAAGGGACAAAAACTTACTAACATTTTTGACTTTGTTTAATTTAAAAATGCTGAGTAGGAAGTTTCTTTTGAAAAAGTCAACTCACAAAGTAACAAAAATTCAAGATTGTTTTTGTCTTGAAAATGCTAAGTTGGAAGTTGCACTAAAGCACCAAAACGGCATTACGATTCTCAATAAAATTTTCCAAAAAATCCGTTTTTTTTTTTTTGCGGGACTATTTTTTTTTTAAAGACTGAGCTGTGCGGTGTGGGGGTTGTGGGCCTACCGATGACGGCGAGCGCCAGGTTCTGCGAGGACGTCCTGCTCTGCTTGTTGGAGGCGCTGCAGCGGTACAGGCCGCGGTCCGAGTCGCGCTGCACGTTCTCGAGGTGCAGCGTGCCGTTGGGGAACACGTGCTGCCGCCGGTTCATCGGCAGCGCCCGCCCGTCTACGGCAAGCAGGGCACGCGTCAAGACGACAACAACAACAACAACAATTGGTGGCACGCGTGTGCGCGGAGCCCGCCCGCACCTTTCTCCCAGGTGATGGACTCGATGGGGTACCCCGCCGCGGGGCAGGCGATGTACAGGGGCTCGCCGGCGACAGCCGAGATGTTGGGCATGGCGCGGACGTGTGGTGGACCTTAAAAAACCCAACAAAAACAAAAAAAAAGTTTAGGTCTTCACGTTCTGCTTTTAGATTTGTTGTTGTTTGTGCGCACTGACCGTAGACGCGCATGTCGGCCGAGTGGCGCGCGTCGCCCACGCGGTTGGTGGCGACACACTGGTAGATGCCGCCGTCCTCCACCTGCACGTTGCTGATGTTGACGTGGCTGATGACGTCGCCGTGCAGCGTCATGTACTGGCCGATGACGAAGCGCTCGCTCTGCGGCAGCGGGAAGCCGTCCAGGTTCCAGGAGATGTGCGGCGTGGGGTTGCCGGCCGCGATGCACTTGAGGGACACGTGGGGGCCGGGCGCCAGCGTCTGCCGGATGAACTTGTACAGCAGCTGGGGGCGGGCGGCTGCGGAGAAAGCACGTGCAAGTCAAGGACAATCAAGGACAAAGGGTGGGCCAAGGTCAGTGGACGCGTTTTGAGCCCCACAGTCGCTAAATGGTACTCGAACCGAGCGTGTGACCCCACCAATGGATTCCTCGTCCGGAGAGCAATCCATTGGTGGGGTCACACGTTCGATTCGAGTCCTATTTAGCGACGCTGGAGCTCAAAACCCGTCCGGGGTTTTGGCCGCCTCCACCGGTCGTCTGACCCACTGTGAGCGTACCGCCGAGCAGCAGCTGGGTGGCGGCCTGCGCCGAGTCGTCGTTGTCGGTGCGCGCCACGCACTGGTACATGCCGGCGTCCTCGCGCTGCACGTGCTCCAGCACCAGGGCGGCGTGCGTGGCGCCGGCCAGCAGGTGGCCGTCCTTGTACCAGGCGCGCGCCGGCTGGGCCTGGCCGCCCACGTTGCCGCCCGCCACGGCGCAGCGCAGCTCGGCGCGCGCGCCCACGTCCACCGTCACCTGCAAGCACCAAGCCTCAGTCAAAACCACAAAAAAAAGTAGGCGGCGTTGGGGAGTTGAACCCGAGACCAAAAATTAGCACTGCTGCTCTTAGTGCACTCGGCCACCGAGGTACCTGGTTGGCTGGCTGCAGCGCCACGGTGAGCGGCGCGGTGAGCTGCAGGGTGACGTCAACGCGCTCGCTGCCGGCCGTGTTGTTGAGCAGGCACACCCAGTGGCCGGCGTCGGCCTCCTCGGCGTGCTGGATCACCAGGACCTCGCCGGCCGCGAACACGCGCTCGTCGTGCGCGCCGAGGCCGCCGAGGCCGCCCAGGCCTAGCGCGGAGGCGGGCCGCAGCTGCTGCCTGTCCATGCGGAACCAGCTGCAACACAAAGTCGCACCACTGTAGGCCCTACAGTGTAGGTCCACAAGCCCGCCAGGCCAAGACTTGGGGCTTTCGCGCGCTTTCGCGTTTCACGCCATCCTGCTCGCGACCCTCACGACACGCCCGGCGCGGCTTGGCTGGCTTTGGACGGGGAGCGCCGGCGAAATCCGTCCCAGCCGACAAGGGGCACGCAAAAATGGAGCTAAGGGGATTTGAACCCGGGACCCCGGGACCCCCGCACCAGGGGGCGGATGTCGCGCGTTCGGCTCCGGGACAAAAGCAGACAAAACCCCGCCACGCGTCTCCGGCATCGCCGAGCGGGCCGGGATTACTGCAACACTGTGAGTGTGTGGAAGGGGAGGGGGAGCAAAAATACAGAGCCCTCTTAATTCATGGCTCCACTGCGCTCCGCTGCCGCGGCTTGGCTTCTGGCTTCTGCACACACAGCGGTACTTGAAAGGCACTGCCGTCGATTGGCGGCGTGGGCTCTGAAAACCGGCGGGGCGGGGCGGGGCGGGGCGGGGCGAGGCGGGGCGGGGCTGCGTCAGCGGCTCCGGCTCATTATGGCCCCTGATTGTGGGCATGGCACGGCGCGCGGGGAGGTAATCCCTGCGTGCTCCGCGAGGACCTTTTAAAAGGCATCCGGTGTCGTTGTCGTTCGCCGGCTGCAGGGATTATTGCACGGTGTAGTCGCACGGCCCCATGTAGTAGTACAAAACGAACACGCCTTTCCCTCCCTCTCACGCCGGGAACGCCGGCAGGGAACGCCTGCTTCACAGTGCGCCAGCTAGAGGGATTTTTCCCGCCGATTTCAAGCCGATGGGATTACCAATCACGGAGCTGTTGCAATCCGTCGAGCTGCGTAATCGTGCCGGGCGAAAGCCCTTCACTGCCCCCCCCCCCCCTGCTGCAGGCAAGCCGCCAACCCGACCACATGAAAGCGATGGCCCGGGGCGAGGCGAGGCGTTCCCTGGGCGTCTGGCGGCAGCAATAAGCGCGCCTTCTTCTGGGTGGCAGCCCCACAGTGGGCCAGATGACCGGCGGAGGCGGCCGAAACGCTAGACGCGTTGTGAGCTCCAGAGTCGCTAAACAGAGCTCGAACCGAACGTGTGACCCCACCAATGGATTCCTCGTGCGGAGAGCAATCCATTGATGGGGTCACACGTTCGGTTCGAGTCCCATTTAGCGACTCTGGAGCTCAAAACGCGTCAAGAGTTTTGGCCGCCTCCGCCGGTCGTCTGGCCCACTGTGAGCCCTGCCGTGCCGTGCCCTGCCCCGCAAGCCCTGCCGCTTCCCTCCGGCGCATGCTGTATGCACGCTGCAGCCTGGCACCCCCGGCACCGCAAGCACACCAGCAGGCTGGCCCCGAAGCACCGCCCCCTCGCTCCGTCTCCGTCGCTCCCACGGGGCGCGCCGTGGGGGTGCGAGAGAGACGGGGCGACGACCCTCCGGAACGGCTCGGCAGCAAGACATGGGCCTTGGGCAGGAAGCGCGCACACTCAGCACAAAGCAGGCACGGCCGTCCCCGGAAGAGGGGGGGGGGGAGGCGGTGCCCTGACCTAGCCTGACCCACTGACAGCGAAACCGAAGCCCAACAATCGGGCAACGGCCAAGGAAAGCCAGATGTGACGCACTCGGATTATCGGTTCTTTAAGTTCCGCCAAAAAAGCGTCGAGAAATGAGCAAGAGGGCCAATCCGGCAGTGTCGCGGCGGCGCCAGGCAGCGCGGCCCGATCAGTATGCCGACACACGGCGCGGCGCGGAGTGATATGACTGCCAATTAATTGCCTCCTTTGCATTGCAAAGTCCAGCCCTCTCTCTTCTTTTTCCTCCTGTTTATCTCGCTCCGCGCCACTGTTTGCAATCCGGCGGCAAACGAAACGGGCACAACACGGCGCGGCCGGGCGCGGCCCGCAACAGTGTGATGCGTAAACTATCGCCATTGGCGAGCCGTTCTGGCCGGAATTCACTTTGGTGGGGAAGTTTGTGCGGTTTGTGAGCTGAGCTCCCCGCCCCTCCTCCCCCTCCACTGCTAGGCCCTGGCCCGGCCTGCGCCACCCGACCGACCGGCGCGACTCTGCTCGAAAAGTTGGCGCCGTGCGGAATATGCTTTGGTGTCGTTGGCTTCCTGGCCGTGTCCAAGGACGGCCAGGCGGAGTTCCGTCGTCCGGGTCCACGGACCACTGGAGGCGGTCAAAATTCCGGACGCGTTTTGAGCTCCAGAGTCGCTAAATGGGACTCGAACCGAACGTGTGACCCCACCAATGGATTGCTCGTTCGGAGAGCAATCCATTGGTGGGGTCACACGTCCGGTTCGAGTCCTGTTTAGCGACTCTGGAGCTCTAAACGCGTGTTTTGGCCGCCTCCACCGGTCTCGGTGAGTGTCCTTACCTGGCGGTGGGCGGCGGGTGCCCCTCCGCGAAGCACGGCAGCACCACGGTCCTGTCCTTGCGGCCGTGCACGGTCACCGCCTTCTCCAGCGGCCGCGGCGGGATGCCGGCGCGGGCCTCTGCGACACGCAAGGACGTTCGGTTCCACACGTCGAACTTGACACATTGCAATTGTCGCTACCCGTCGCCTCCCTACCTGTCACGCTGAAGCGCGCCTTGCCCGCGCTCATGATGGTGGCGCCCGTCAGCCTGTTGACGGCGCGGCACTGGTAGCTGTGGTACTTGTCGGGCTCGTCCACGTCGCGCACCAGCAGCTCGCCCGTCACCAGCATGTGGTACTTGCCCTCTGGAGAGACAAACCAAACTTTCATTTAAAAAAAGAAAAAAAAAACCCAGCGGGGCCGATGGAAAAGGGGCCTGATCCTGCCGTGCCTCCCGGCCGGGCACAAAGTTCAATCCAACACAACTTTCCAGCAAGTTCCGATTTTTGTTGTTGTTGTTGTTGTTGTTGTTTCGTGCGCTCGCAAATAATCATTTCCGGGAAGGCTTTGAGCCGGACGGGCGCACGCGCGCCTGCCTGTCCGAGTGCGAGAGCGTGTGCATGAATACGTGTGTCAGTGTGTGTGTGTGTGTGTGTGTGTGTGTGTACATGCGTGTGAGGGTGAGTTGTGTGTGTCTCTGGCCCCGGCCGGCCCAGCCCCTTGTCAAAACGGAGGAACACGCCTCGGGCAGCTAGTTGAGAGGGAATAATCCGCATATGACGCAAACCCGAACAACATCGATGTACGGCCCGGCTGGCACAGCCCGGCACGGCCCGGCACGGCCGGGGTTTAAGGCAGCTTTGGCCGTTCCCTGCGCGGCTACGCCAGGCTACGCGCCCGCTGCCCCCCACCACACTGTCGGACCCTGCTCGTGCCTCCCTACATCCCAACTCCCGCAAAATGTTCGGTCTTAGGGCAGATCAATAATACACTCGGGTGCAAATAATGGGTGAATCTTAAGGATTCTCCGCAGAGAGCCAAGAGAAGTGACGTTTTTCGCTCTGGGCGGTCTTCTTTTCCCGCCAATTTTTAATTGGCGCGCGCGCGCAGCCGTGAGAGTCGTCCCCCTCATCGTCGACGGCCTCGGGGATGCAGTTCGTCGACGCGGTCCTGGCCGGCGTGGCGGCGCGGGCCGTAATGAACCTCCCCCGCGGCCTTCCTCCTCGCCCTCCTCGAGGTCGGCGTGGTCGCGGTCGCGGCGCCGCGGTCGCACTCGCGCACACAATGGCAGCCAGCGGCAGCCAGGGCCGTGGCCTCGGCCGTAGTTTGGAAGTGTTTGCGGCCGCGGCCCAGTCGCCGAATTTCCCTATCCAAGTCACCCCACCCGACGAACGCGAGGTGGCGGCGCTCCCTCCCTGCCTTGGTTTGCTATTCCCACCGCCGTTCTCTTGGCGCTTGCCGCTGCACTGCCGGCCCTTCGCTCCGTCTCTCTCGCTCCCGGTGCAGCCGCATGCGGCCGCCAGCTGGTGCATCGCCCTTCTCGCTTCATCTTCAAACGGGGGGCTCTGCTGGCTCTGCTGCACCAGACAGATAACGCCCCTCCTCGGTCCCTACGTCGGGCGCACTGTTTTTTGCCCCACCCTGCCAGTCTCTGTCTCTCTCCCTCTCGCTTTGTTTTCCGGGAAGCCCTCAGTGGGCCAAAAGATCGGCGGGGGCAGCCAAAATTCTAAACGCGTTTTGAGCTCCAGAGTCGCTAAATGGGCCTCGAACCGAGCGTGTGACCCCACCAATGGGTTCCTCGTTCGGAGAGCAATCCATTGGTGGGGTCACACGTCCAGTTCGAGTCCCATTTAGCGACTCTGGAGCTCAAAACGCGTCTGGAATTTTGGCCGCCTCCGCCGGTCTTCTGGCCCACTGTGCAGCCCTCCGCACGGCCGAACGGCCAGCCTGCGCCCCTTTCGCCTTCCACAGTGCAGGCACCAGCCGGGGGAAAAATTAACAAACTAACGACACGGAAAAAGAAAGCCTCGCAGTCCATAGAGTGCAGTCCGCCGCCATAAAAAAGTTTTCTTGCAATATTAATACCTGGTAGTACCGTTTAAAAGCCACTAAACGAGTGTAGCGGCGGAAGAGCCCGCGCCATCAATCCAGGCGGGCGGCCTGCCTGCCGGCCTGCCAGGTGGCGTGCAGGTGGACGCTCCTCGCGGCCATCTGTTCCAAGTCGGGGCGCGCGTGCATGGGGGGCGCGCGGTTAAACATTCATCCCGAGACCCGCCCCGCCCGCCCCGCCCCGCCCCGCCCCGCCCCGCCCCGCCCCGCCCCGCCCCGCCGCGGCCCGGCCCCTACTTCATACGCCGCGAGCCACGCCGTCCGTGGCCCCCGGACCCCCTCGGACGGGCAGTGAAAAATTTGGCAAGTAGTGATATAAATGGGCGGTCCGGGCGGGTCTCTGGTCCGAAGGAGTGGCCCGACATAAGGCTGCCTCCGCTGGGCCTCGACCCGCTTGGCCGCTAGCGGGGCTCCAGCCTCGGCCCCGACGGCCCCCCACAGCACGGGGCGCAGAGCGGGGCGCAGAGCGGGGCGCAGAGCGGGGCGACCTCTGCCGGACTTTGGGCCGATCCCCGCGCCCGTTGCGCCCCGTTGCGCCCCGCTGGGCCTGCTAACCGTATCAGGTGGTCGTGCCCGGCCTGCCAAGGGAGAGGCCAGCCCTAGGCCAGCCCTAGGCCAGCCCTAGGCCAGCCCGGCGCGGCCCCAGCCAGACCAGCTGCAGCCGGCAGGGCGTCACGTGACCGGCCGCACTGGGTCAGCAGCTGCAGCAGCCGCCCCAACAACCTACGCGAACCTCTCCCGCGCGGCACGGCGCTGTCATCGACGTAATGGAGACGGACGCTGAGGCGACGGAAATACACGTGTTGTTTTATGGAGACTGTGACTCGGACTGACCGGGTCTGGAACGAACGTGCACGCCGCGACAATGCTGGCAAAACTCTAGACAAGTTTTAAAAAATCTCATTCAACGAGCGTTAATGAAAGCAGATGATCCATAGCGTTTCACAACTGCTGTGATAGCCGAGAGGTTAGAGACGTGGGATCGAGTTACCGCAGGCGGGCGTTCGAATACCAGCGTCACATACGTTTTTTCGATTTACTATCCTAAGGGTGGTGGTTCGAGGCCATCCGAGCGGAGCCATGTGCAACAGACCCACATGCCGGAGGTTCGACTCCTAACAAATATTTCCATTTAATTGCATGGGACGTGGTGGTCCAGGGAGTAGAGGCGTCGGTTCGCTATGCTAGGGTCGGCGGTTCGACTCCCCCAACTTCTTGCGAAATTTTGACCGGGTCGGTCGAGTCCTGTTGCGTCAAGAACCCACCTCACGCCGGTTCCCTCATCATGGGCCGTGGTGGCCGATAGCGTAAAGTCGTGTGATCCCGATGGCGGGGTCCGGGGATCGAATCCCATCATTTCATTACATTTTTCGACCGCCTTCCTCCCAGTGCAACTCAAACCCGTCGTCCAACACGCTGCCAGACGTACAAGCGTGATAGCGTAGTGGTCAGAGTCACATTCACCTGGCCACTCCGCTGTGGGTGTCTAAAAAGCAATCCGCTTCGGCGGGTTGGCCTCGGCACTGGAGCGATGGAGTATTTGATCCATCAATCCAGACCATCCGGTGTGTGGTTGCGGGTGGTGCCTCCTTGACTCGTCGGGGAGGCGATGATAAGTCCTTTGAAGCTGGCCTAAAACGCTGTATGTTCGGTACGGGAGCGCCGGACAGTGGGGGTACCATGGGGTACACAACCAACCCTACGAAAACAAGAAGCTCCCACCAAACCTCTTCTCTGTCTGAGTCTCTCTCTGTCTCTCTGTCGTCTCACTCTACGTCCCGCCCCTCAAAGAGCTTCGTACTGGGTGCTCTCACCCTACTGCCTGAGCTTTGGGGTCCTACTGGGTCCCCCGGCGAACGCTTGGGTCGCTGACGGGATTAACCCCAGGTACCTGATAGCACCGGTTCCCATCCCGAACACCGAAGTAAAGCAGGAGGCCTCCCCATTAAGACTGGGGAGGGGGTGTAGAGTTCAATTTTTTTCTTTTCCCTTTCAAATAGAATGAAAAATAAAAGCGCGAGGAGGAGTTGAACCCGGGCCCAGAAAATAGAGACGCACACACACACTGGTAAGTTTGAGCTGGAGCACCCTGTTCTGCTGGGCCGCGCCATCGCCACCCCCACCGAGAGCCTCGAATTGGAGACGTTACAAGACCGCCCGTTCGTCTCCGAGTCCCATCCGGCGTCGTGGCTGCGGGACTCCGGGCCGCGAGGCTGCGTCCCGACGGCCCCTCTCTCCGTCTCTCTCGCTCCCACGCGGGGCGAGGGGGGCCCGGGGGACGCAGCGCGCTTCGGAACGCCGGCCAGTTTGGGAGTTGGAACAGGTGAGCAGCGGAGCAGCGGTGCTGATACCATCCGGGGGGGCTGGCCGCGGTCTGGCAAGGCGGGGCAGCGCGGTCCGCAGGGCCACCGAAAGCCGGTGTGAATATTGTTCCCAACTCAGTCCCCAGGGGGAACATGTGCCAAGACCCCGGGGGGACTTGGGCCGTCTTCGGCGCCGCCACCATCACGCCCTGCACTGCCAGCCGCAGTGATTCAACTGCCCAAGCCGCGAAACTGACGAGAAATAATCATTTTAGGGCGTTTCATCGAGGAGAGTCCACTGGAGGCTCGGCAGCCGCAGAGGGGACGAGCTCTCGCTACTCCGCGCGCGACAGACCGCCAACGCCGCACGGGGTATTGACACCGATAGTGGCCCGGGCCGACTGGAACGCAAGGACAGCGTGGAGTGGGACTCCCGCAGGGACCGGACGGGGCCAGTGTGGCAACCGTCAAAAATATTTCACTTCGTTATTTTGACTTGACTAGTGTTCGACAGTGTGGGAGAGGATAAAAAAACAACTTAGGTTTTTGTTAGATTTCCATGGCGGCTGCAACACTAGACCGCCCTTCGCCCTGCCAGGTTGCGGAGAGGAAAAAAAAATGCAGAAAACACGTTTCCAGCAGCAGGTAGCTTGCCTGCGGGTACTGAATTGCGCGGTGCTTCCTGGCTATAACCTGTTTTCCCCCTTTTTTTTCAACTTGCATTCTCCTGCGGTGGCCCTGGGGCCATGGGGCCGGGGCCCTGGAGGCCGCGCGCTCCGCCCCCGTTCCGCCAGCACCGGGGCCTCGGGGCTTCCAGGGGCACCTCGCGCTCGCCAATCGCAGCCACGCCCATGAAGGCCATCAGGGGGCCCTCCCTGCCAGGACCCGCCAGGGCCCGCCAGTCGGAGGAATGGCGGCTGTTAAACGCGAGCGACGTAAACTTGTGAGCGAGAGCATACACTCAATTTAACTGGATTCAGAGAGGCCGTTAACCCGGAGGCAGGAAGACCGGCAGGAAGCCAGGTCAACACAGGCCGTCCGTGCCGCCGCACAGTGGGCCAGAAGACCGGTGGAGGCGGTTAAAGTCCCGGACGCGTGAGCTGCAGAGTCGCTCAACAGGACTCGAACCGAACGTGTGACCCCACCAATGGAGTCCTCGTTCGGAGAGCAATCCATTGGTGGGGTCACACGTCCGGTTCGAGTCCTGTCTAGCGACTCTGGAGCTGAAAGCGCGTCTAGAGTATTGGCCGCCTCCACCGGTCTTCTGGCCCACTGTGCCCCGGCCGGCTGACCAGACTTCGGCATCAAGGTGCTCCGAGACAATGGGTCTCTTGTTGGACACCGCAATGTCAAGGCATTTTCATTTCCCCGGCCGAAAACTAGAGAAATCTAAAACTGTGACTTTACCTCCTTTCGGCGACGGGTAGATGTTGAAGGTGTCGTCCTTGAGCCACGACACCACGGTGATGTACTCGCGCACGAAGATGGGCACGGTGCACTTGAGGGCGGCCGTGTTGCCGCGGATCACGTTCTTGTTGTAGAACACCTGCACCACGTAGTCCTGCAGCACCACTGTAAAAACAGAGACCGGGCTGCAGAAAACAGGGCAAAAAGAATGCGAGCAGCCACGTGAACAGGGAGAGCCATAGGTTCGTGAAAGGAAAGGGGGGGGGGCATGTCAGACATGACGTGGAAGTGAAGGCCGGCGTCGGTACTCGCTGTTTACAAACGAAGCTGATTAGTGTGGGGGAACGGGCCGGGCCAGGGAGGGACTCGCGGAGGGACTCGGGGAGGGGAGGGGTGTCGAGGGTTAAAGGGGATTCCATTAATTAACAGCCTCGCATTAACTACCAGATGCGGGGGATCGCGGGCGAAGGCGAAAACACAGAGACGACGGTCGACGGGGGGGGGGGGGGGACGGAAGGGGACCTGGAGTGCCGGGAGCGCGGGGCGCGGCAGTTGGCAGTGTAGTACTGCTTCGCTGCCTCGCTGCACAACTACAAGCAGGGTGTCTCGCCAAAGTTCGACTCCAGCGCCGCCGGGCCGCGACCCAGCGACCCGCCTGCCCACGCATTGCGCGCATCGGCATCAGCCAGCCGAAGCAGGCGGCGGTGTCGGAGGTGCTTCGTGGTGCACTGGTGGAGGCGGTCAAAGTCCCGGACGCGTTTTGAGCTCCAGCGTCGCTAAATGGGACTCGAACCGAACGTGTGACCCCACCAATGGATTGCTCTCCGAACGAGGAATCCATTGGTGGGGTCACACGCTCGGTTCGAGTCCTGTTTACCGACTCCGGAGCGCAAAATGCGTCTGGAGTTTTGGCCGCCTGCGCCGGTCTTCCGGCCCACTGTGCGGCGATGGCGAAGCCGACGCCCTGGCAGCGTTTCAAAACCGCGAACGCAACCTCTCTTTTCATTCCAACGGCTCGGCGTGCTGCCCTTGACGCTCGCTGGCGCACTCGCTCTAAATCATACCTGTGCGTCGAGGCGCCGACGCGCGCCTGCATACACTTGGCCCTACGGCCCGGCCCACAAACACAGCCATACATCTCGGGCCGACATGACAGTGACAAACCAGGGCCGGCAGCGGAGGCGGGCAGGGCGGGGCGAGGCGGCCGAACGCAGCCGAACGCAGGCAGGGACATTGATAAATCTGCAAGCGATTGATCCGATGTGCGACAGCGAGGAGCATCAGCCAAGGCGATGAAATTACCCGACCACCTGCCGCGCCACCTCCCTCTCGACCGCCAGAGACTCAGAGACCGCGGCTGGAGCGTGGCGCCGCCGTGCCGGTTATGGAACACACTTTGGCTTCTTTGTCGACAATTTAATGTGAATCTGAAAATCCTTATTGCCTCTGGGCCCCGCAGTGGCGGCGCACCACCTCAAGTACTTGGACGGCACGACGCTGTGGGGCTCACTGGGGGGCGGTCTGTCTCGTGTGAGGCCGCCAGGCACCGGCAGGCCAGCACTCGGGTCGCATTTAGCCGCCAATCCAACAAGTTGTTCTCCCTTCGGACGTCACCCCTCCTTCCTCTGGACAACTACTTCACGGGGCACAACAACAACTTCGCTCCGTTTTTTCCCTTTTGCCTCTGTTGTGTATCTGTGCGTGTGTGCGTGGAAGTGTATGTGTGTGTGTCACGCCCACAATCCGTCTGTCCTCGCGCGCAACAAAACTATTCCACACAAAACTAAAATAAAAGGAGGGGCAAGTTGGGTCGACGAAACGGAAGCTGAAACTCGAAACAATATCTAGACGCAGCATTCATACTCCCTCCTGTGTACTTCCGAGGACTCCCAGTTGGGCGTACGCACTGCCAGCAATAAAAAAAAACAACTTTTTCCCTGTCCTGAAAAAATTAAAAAAAAAAAAAATACTTTATTTGAAAACGAAAAAAAAAAGCAGAACTGGTCTGATTTGATCGAAGAAGAACGGTTTTTTTTTTTTCGTTTTTACCGTGCAGCGCCGAACGAAACTTGTCCCCCGTTCTCTTTGCCCGCACCACTGTCCCCACCGATATACTTTTCACCTGCGAAAATGAATTTCGATGGCTGCCCGACTTCCTTTCTTCGCCCCTACCCCACTTTCTGGCGCTGCTTTTCTTCGGGATGCTATTCGCGCGGTGCGGCCCGGAGAGGAGGCTTCGGTGCAGTTGCTGCCTGCCTGCCTGTCTGTCCGCCTGTCTGTCTGCCTGTCTGCCTGCCTGCTCGTCTGTCCGCCTGTCTGTCTGCTCGCCTCCTATTGACGCGGCGAGGCAGGCCGAATACTGATATGGCTTTGGCGCTGGCTTTGCGTTCCATTCCGCAGTGCTGTGTCTCCACCATGGAAAAAAAGGGGAAAAAAAGAGTCTGGCAGAAAAAAGAAGAGAGAATAGGTACTGGATAATAAGGATTCGGGGTGCCAGACCAAAGGAAGCCTTGCGGTGTATTAGTTCGCCCGACAGCTCGAAAAATAAGAAAGAAGTGCTCTGAGCTACACCGCACGCTCAGAACCGGGAAGTCCTTTGCCGTGGTTTCCATTCCTGCTGTAAATTTACGAGGTAATCGTTAAAAATAAAAGTGTGAGGGAATGTTCACCACATTCGGCGATGTCCTATGAGCATTTCTGCGTGTGTTGCCTGTACTTCCCGCCAAAAGAAACACATAAAACGGAACCGAATGCTTTTTTTTCGCGCGGGTGTTTTCGCTGTGCTGCTCCCCCTCCCCCTACAATCAACCCCAACCCGGCAAGCTGTGCCACGCCCGGGGTTGCTTACGCCTGCCTCTCCGGCACCGGGTCTACCCCCAACCCCCACATCCCTCAAAACCCACACCTCCCCCCACCCCGGCCGCAGCCAGTGCTTCTGCAGGGGCCTTCCGTCGGCGTTTTATGGTGGTTTCCGCTGTGGATTCGTGTCGCTTCGTGTCGCGCCTGCGACAGACGGGACAGACGCCTGGGGAGCCCTGCGACAACTTAAGAGGATAGGTCTGGCAACCCCCAGGCCAGGCCGTGGGCGAGGCCAAGGGCGTCCCAGGCTCGCCACACGTACAAAGGGACGGCACTCGTCCAAATTCCCCCTCCCCCTCCAGGCCGTGTACACGATGACCGCCTTCACGCGGGACGGAACGGGGCATCGCGTTAATCCGCCGCTACACCGCAATAACCGAGCCGCTCTGTCTCCCTCGCACTCAGGGGCTGCGCCGCGCCGCAGGGCTGCAGGGGTGCGAGAGAGACCGAGCGAGACGAAGGCATGCCCCGACCGCAGCGAGCGAACATCACCGGAAGAATCCGGCACTAAGTTGGCCTCGTCGCGAAATACTATAACGCGGCATTCCCGGGATGCGGAAGCGGAACCGTGTGGTGTGATCGAGTCGCCGCGGATTGGCTCGGATTGGCCGGGGTGGGGGAATCGCGCGCGAAACACAACACTGTGAAACTGCGAGCGTCCTGCAGGACTCCCGGGACGGCCGGGGGATATTAAATAGCCGGGCCGACAAGGCTGCGGTTGAATTTTCTCGGGGGACGGATTTATGTTTCAGGTTCCAGTCAGGGTGCCGTGCCGTGCGGGGCCGTGCGGGGCCGTGCGGGGCCCGGCCGAGGGTTCCACGGGGTTCCGAGTGCTCCACCGAATCTCTAATCTTCAATATGTGCCAGCACGGCGAGCACGGCAGGCGCGGCCGGCGGCCCTACCCCCGGGAGTCTGGCGTGTTTGGCCTGCCGGCGTGCCGGCGGAGCGCCTGTGGAACAGGGGGTAGGCAACCCGCGCGCAGCCTTGCGCGGAGGCGCTAAGACGCCTTGCCGCCACGCCGCTCCTCCGTCAGCCGGCTTTTCCTTATTCCTCCCGAAAAGCCAACTTTTTTCGGCCTTGCTGTGCTGGGGACGGGGCGGGCTGGCCACAGGCGGGCGCACATGTGTTGCCCCATGAGGTCCTAAATCTCCGGTCGGTCCCCAGCTGAGCGGAGGACGGGCGGAGCGGAGTCCGGGCGGGCCGGCCGGCGCGCGGACCGAGGCGAGGTCAGATCAGCCGTGGTTTGGACAGGACCTGTCTATCGCCCACATACATCGGCTGGCCCGGCCGGCGCTCTGCCGCTCCCCGCCGCGCGCCCGGCCCGGTCCAACTAGAATGGCCGCCAAGTTTGAAGATTGAATCCGTGACGGGCAGCTCGGCGGTCTGCCCCTTTGTACTTGAGGCCGAAATCAATTTCAAAATCATAACTGCAAAAATACATCTTGCCAAATATTTTACACAGCACAAAAAAAAATCAAATCAACAAGAAAATCTATTTAAAAATAATTCGTCGATTGTAGCCTTGCGGCTGTAACTCTAACGAGATGGGGTATTCCGAACAGTGCGACACGCCCCGCTGCTCAGCCCCGCCGGGGTCAGAGGCGGGGTGAGGGGTACGCTAGGGGGCCGGCGAGGGGCCAGGCCCCCAATTTTTTCCGTCCCTGCCCTTAATGGCAAGTTTGGCCGTCGCCCAAGTGACACACAGGCGCAGTACCGCAAAGGGACAAGCCTGGCCTCAGCCGGCCCTGGGCCAGCCCTCGGCCAGCCCTGGGCCAGCCCTAGGCCAGCCCTAGGCCCCCGCCTGACAGGACGTCCGCCCCCCGCCCGGGTCAGCGCGGGGGTCAGCCAGCGACCAAGGCAGCCTTGTGGCGGTAGACAAGGCACTGCCCTGTGCCGTGAGGCCGCAGCAAGCAGGCCGTCCTGGACACTTGGTCGCACTTTGCTGCACGCATGGGTCGATCGCCCGACTGGAACAGGCTCCGATGCACCGGGTGCGTGGTTACAACCCACATTTTAAATGTTCATCCGAGTGGCAACTCAAGCCTCGCCTAGCGCGTTACAGGAGCTTGGCTGGCCGTGATAAAAAAAGGGCGTTCTAAAAACATTTTTCTGGTGGCATTTTTACTGGTGGTGTACGCGTGTCCCAGTAGTCGGAGGCCAAAGTAGAAGCCGCGCAGCGTTTTCCGCGAACGCGTGACCGCCGACCATTTTTCACGGAGTCCTTCGAAGCGCGCTCGTGGCCCGTCGGGGTGGCCCGTGCAGGTGCGACAGAGACAGTGCATGCGGAGGATCCTCACGGCCTCACGGACGTTGGCACCATGCCAGGGATAACAACGGTCTTACGTCCTGAATTCAAATACTTGTTTTTTGAATCGCCCTTCCCTCCACCCGCAGGCCTCGCAGCCAGCCAAGGCGGGCCAAGGTAATCCCCATTGCTCGTGCTGGGGACTGCAAATAAAAGAGGGTGCGGCATATTGAAACGGCCCTCGGGCCTACTTGTCATGCGGGATCGGGGTTCAAACTGACTGCCTTGCTCGACACTGCCTTACTCGGCCTTACCGCACGACGCCAGCCCCGCCAGCCCCGCCAGCCCCGCCAGCAGTCCGACCAGGCCGCCGACTACACTGCAAGGGACTGAGGAAGAGGAAGGGGACGCCTCGCCAAATTTTCCCAATTACCATATCTTGTTTGTTTTTTCTCGAGCATATTCATGAGGCGTGGTTTATTCCATCCAGGGCGGGTTATTTTTTACTCCCCGGCACCCTTACAGACGTCGGGGACCGTCGGGGGGCCGGCGGCGGTGTGTCATAGGCGGCCGAAACGTTTGATGTTGACAGCAGCGCCTCCCAGCTCCCTGCAGAACCATTACTTCTTCCCCCAGCCTCTCCAGCCCCCCGCCGTCCGGAAGGACGTGTCAGCCGTCAGGGAGAAGCCGTCACTCACCTGCGTGCACGCGGACGTCCCTGCTGGTGACGCGGCCCACCACGTTGGCGGCCACGCAGCGGTACGTGGCGGCGTGCACGTCGTGGCGGTAGCCGCTCGCGCGGAAGGGCAGGAAGTGCAGGGAGCCGTTGTGCAGCACCGTCAGCGCGCCGGGGACGTCCGCCACCGCCTTGCCCTCCGTCAGCCAGGACACCGTCGGCGGCGGCGACCCCACGGCCACGCAGTCCACCACGGCGCCGGTGTCGTTGGCGAAGTCCACGCGCGCCGGCGGCTCCAGTTGGAAGGACGGCCCCGCCAGTAGTGCGTTCCCTGTGGCAGAGTGGGCAGAGGCACCGTTAGTCAAGTCACAAACACGGGTTCGAACCCCACCAACGTCCTTTTTTTCTGAGTCCTCGGAGGTAAGCAGTCCAGAGGGACTACAGTCCGCATGCACGGCGCGGTCGACGCGGGCCCTTTTAGCCCGCCGTCCCTACTTGATCCTTGAGGTGTGCTTCTGTGTCCTCCAAGGCCCTCTCCAAGGTCCACGCCCAGGCGAGCGGACGGACACACAAAGACTCCCGGGTCCACGCCGCGCCGGACCGCGCCGTGCCGAGCCGCGCCAGGACCTGGCCCGTCATCCAATTTCCTCTTTCTATTCTGAAGGGAGATGAAGAAGGCAGCCGGCCAGGCGGACCTTTGGCTCGGCAGCAAGACTGCCGCTCTTCCGAAGTAGCGCAGCAGTCCGAACATCGCGGTGGCCGAAGGCGTAGAGGCGTCGACACTCAATACGGAGAGCTAAGGTTCAACGCCCGGCTAAGTTTTAGAATTTGCCTCACAATAAAATTTTTAATTTTTTTTTACTATGTTTGGTTGGTGGTGTTGTGCGAAAGGGTTACGACGCGTCATGTCTTTTATTGGCCACAGATATTTCCAATTTGCCGCGGGAAATATTTCCGATGACCGATTCTCTGCAGTGGGCGGCCCGTCCGTCGCACCGGACAGGGCTAGGATCTGCTGCGGGCGGAGACCCCCCTGGTTAAGATGAAAGACGTTTCGCTCCCACGGGGATTCTTTTGAAGCGGCAGCCTCGGCAGCCCAGGTTGAGGTGCCCTGCTGCCGGGTTCGTCGGCACACCCGCAGCGCCGGCCCGGCACCGCCCGGCGGTCCGTTTGAGAATCACAAACGAAATCACTCGTTTGTGTGTTTGTGCTGGGGCGTGCTGGGGTCTGGGAGGAACGCGAAGCCCGTCCCAGCAAGGACGCAGTCCAAGTTGATTTTTCCCCTTTCCGCCTCTGCCCGCCACGGCACGCTGGCCAATCCTAGGTCAGCACGGACTTCTCAAGTTGCCCGTCCCGCCCGACCCCTATGCACCGAGGCCAGCACGTGGCAGCTGCTGCACTGTTATTGTTGTAAAGTCGAAGGGTGCCGGGTGGTGCCCGCTGGCCGCTTGCAGACGTGCGGCCGGCGTGTGGGCAAAACGGGCAAGAGGAAGAGCACCGCGACGCGCCGCGACCTGTGACAACTCGGACGGGAATAGGGAAGAGGGCAAAACGCGGCGCAGCATGATGCAGACAGGAAGGGCGGATAAGCCGCGGGCTTAGGGGGAGGGGGGTAAACCTCAGGGCTGCAGAGAGGAGCCCGGAGGGGAGGGGGGCTTTCAGCTGTTCGTCTGAGCAGGGCGGGCGGAGGCAGTGACAGAACACACTCAGATGATCCGCCGGCAGTGCCGAGTAAGTGTTGGTGGCGGGTGAAGGTGCAGCCACGACCAAAATATCGGAGGCTTTTCCAGGGACGGCGGTGTGCTTGCGACTGGCGTAAATCCCCAGAATGCACCAGAAGGTTGCCTACCTTGGCTTTGCGCTGTTGCCAAGTCGGCATCGGTGCATCGTGGTGGCAAGTTTCGCTCACTGATGTGGCAACGCCGCTGCCTTGATTCGCATCCCTCACGGACCTCACGGCGCACGGCGGCGGCAGGTCGGGTGGCGAGGTTGGGGCGACCCCACTTTGGGGCCGCACGCTCGAGAGGACCAACAGAGGAATGCGCACCGCCGGTATCATGGACAGGTAAGTGAGGTCAGTCGGTGTGTGTGTGTGTGTGTGTGTGTGTGTGTGTGTGTGCGTGTGGTGGGGGATAGAAATTGGTTTGGCGCCACCACAGCACACACAACAACGCGCCGCGCGCTACGCGCCTCGCCGTGAAGCCGATACAAATGGGGGAGCTGTATGCCTCTCCAGGGGGCTGTGTGTGCGTAGGCCGCGCGTCTGTGTGAGCGCCTTTGTGTGTCCCTGAATGTGTGTGAGTGAGCGTGTGTGAGTGCGCCCCACCCTCCCCCCCCCACGTCATGGCCATAACCACCTGCAGCCAATTCGAGTCCGATTCCGACGCCGCCCTAATCTGCCCCGTCCGTCGTCCGTCTGCCCCGCCGTGCCACGGCCCCCACCACTTCCTCCCAGCAGCAGGGAAATGCCAAGGAGAGCGGCCGGATGAAGCTGCAAAACTCGACCTCGTTTTTTTGCGATTGTTTCCGGCGCTGGGTACCGCTTGGGTTGGCTCGCCGAGCCAGCCCAGCTAGCCCAGCCAGCGCAGAGCAGCCTCTGAGGAGCTATTTTCCGACGCACCCGAGAGCAGGGCTTAGGAATTAGCCCGGCGCCTGAGGTGGCGTCTGCGCGTCTCCCCCTTCCACTGCCGCGCCCTGGTGCTGCTGGTGGTGGTGCTGGTGGATTTTTGGTGGAGGGGCCGTGTGCTCTACCGCCGGCCGCTCAGGCCCTACACCCGTTTGATTCCCGGCGGACAGTGGGTGCAGTTCCCATGCTGGTGTGCAAATTCGCCGGATAGGAGGCGGTGGAGCGTGGCGGGCCGCGGTGGCCGAACAGTGTCGCAGTAGGCCGTGGTTGCGGGGCTCTCCCAGTCGGTCCCCTCGCTTTTTGCAGTGGTGCGGAGCTGGTCCGACGACGCCCTACATCCACCCCCACGGCCACCCCGAGGAGTGTCTTTGCGCACCTGTCGCGGTATTGGCCCCCAAGCCGCAGCGCCGCAGCCAAAGTTGGGCCGGAGTAACGAGCGGCGGGGAGGCGCCCGCCGCGTCAAAGACCGCCACCGGGGAGGACGAGGACGACGGGGACCTCAAAAGCCCCCAAACCGCACGCACAGTATCACACGACCGTAGGCAGACAAGCCGTCCGCGGTGAAAGAGGCCTTTTGCGAGAGTAGGCATCCCGCCTGGCAGTGCAGCGTCGATGCAATGCACACACCCTCACACACACACACACACACACACACACTCACACACATGCACACACACAGCTGTCACTGGGGCGTCGGCGATGGGCTATATTGCGCAGACCGTTATAGCCGCGCCTCACTATACGATGCGGCCACTGCGCCTCTCTGTGTCTGTGTGTGTATATGTGTGTCTGTGTCTGTGTGGACGTGCATGTGTGCGAAAGCGTGCATGTGCATGGCCCCGAGGATAAGCGGCAGCTCGCGGTGCACGTGCAAAACAAACTTTGCCATACACTTGTGGTGTGTGTGTGTGTGTGTGTGTGTGTGAGTGTGTGCGTGCGGGGGAAAAGAGCGCCGGCACTATAGCAGCCGGCAGGCAGTGTTGTTAGGGAGATTGCGCATCGAATATGGAAACATTGGCGGCGCCACGACTTTGTTTTTTTGAATTCGATGTCCAGGAAAAAAGCGTTCACCAACAAAGTTCCTCCGGTGGTGGCCGGCGTGCGTCTGTCTCGCCGGCAGCGCGATCCCCGCCGGCCTTTCAAAAACAATAGCAAACACCACTGCACTCGCGCGCCCATTAAGGTAATTGCATTCCGCGCTTGGGTAAGGACGCTTCGCCGTACTCCTGTGCGCGCGCTCGGCACCACAGTGGGCCAGAAGACCGGTGGAGGCGGTCCAAATCCCCGACGCGTTTTCAGCTCCAGAGTCGCTAGATAGGCCTCATAGCGAACGAGTGACCCCACCAATGGATTGCTCTCCGAACGAGGAATCCATTGGTGGGGTCACACGTTCAGTTTGAGCCTTATTTAGCGACTCTGGAGCTCAAAACGCGTCGAGAGTTTCGACCGCAGCCACGGGTCTTCCGGCCCACTGTGCGCCGCTTGCTGTGGTATGCGGAACCGGTGCTGCTACATCAGACCTGCTGGGAGATGTTTCCCCTAAAAGGGTGCGGCAATCAACCGGGTCGTTTAGCTTATTACCCATTACAGCGGGACGAGGGACGGGACGAGGGACGAAAGGGGGAGGGGAGGGGGAGGGGAGAGGGGAGACCGCGCGGTTCCCGCTTCGCACCCCGCAGGACCCGCAGACGGAGCCACCTTGGGTTAATTTACCATTCCACCTTCCCTTTCGCAGCAGACGACACGTTAGCAGACGCCGAAGTGTGTTGCCAAGCGAGGTCGCAATGGGATTAAGGGGCGATTTGGCGAGGTGGGGGGGTGGGGGCGACGGCAGAAGGCCGGGGGCACTGGATGCTAAACAGCGCAGCCTTAATTGTTTCATACATTTTTATGTTCGAGGGCGGTGAACAATTGCGACGCCCCCTTCCACGGCCAGCATGTGGCCCTCCCTCCCCCCATCTCCCCCAAGGCCACAGACACCACCACTTCAAAGGGGCCCGCGTCGCCAGCTCTTCGAGGGCTCCTTGTAGTTTGCGGACCGCAGTAGTTTTCCACCGCAAAGGTGGAGGCCGGGGCTCGACGAGACCAAGACCTGCCGCTGGGGTGCGGATAGACGGATAGACAAGCCCATGCATCGTCTTCGCTGGAGACAGTTTCAGGAGAAAGTTGGTCACCTACGAGATACATTACTGTCTGTAAGTGGTTGCGATATTTGCTGCGTTCTTTAATTAAAACGAGGGTGGTCGAGGCGTTGTCACGCGCGGCGGACGGGCTGCGGACAGCTGCTCGCTTAGGGCACGAGTTTTATGCAGGGGCAGCCAACCGATATAAAGCCTTGCCCATAAAGCCCGCCCCACCCCCACCCAACCCTTCAGCGTGGCTAGCGTCGCTACAGCGTCACAAAGACCAGGCACCGACCACAAACTCGAGTACCGGATTCCGAATAATAATGCCCCTCCAACCCGTGTGTTCTTGTTGATCTTTCCCATTGTGTTCCGTTTTTTTGCCGTATGTTCTGTTTTTTCGGGGGTTTGTGTTCGCGGTGCGATAATCCCCGACACGTTAACAAGTTTTGCGGCCCCTTTTGTCTCACGTGGACAATTTGCCTGGCTGCAAGCGAAACCTGTTGCCGGTGTGGCGCCTGCACTAATCGGTGTGGCCAGGGCACGCCACGGCACGGCACTCCACGGCACGCGACGGTAGCT